TGGGCAATCTACTTCCATAATGATTTATTGTCTTGGAAACCCAGTGGGGGTTGCTATGAGTCAGAATTGACTCAATGGCAGATTTTTAAAAAATTTGTTTTCAACTCAATGTCTTTATGATATGGGAAAAATGAAGAACATACCTCATAGGATTATTAAAATAATTAAATAAATAATCTATGTGAAACTAGTGGCAAAGTGCCTACTATATACTAAGCATTCAATAAATGTTAGTTGCCATTTTTACATGTGTTGTATCTATATTGTGATGATGACATGTTGTATGGATTCTTATGTTATATATGTATTTCTTAATCTTTACCACCATGATAGCCTCCATGAAGCTCTCATGGTACACCAGTAAGAAAGTTGCCATCAAGTTGATTTTGATGCATGGTAACAGCGCCCCCAGGTATGTCAGCCTGGAACTGTGCTTCATAGAATTTTCAGTGACTGATTTTTCAGAAATACATTGCCAGGCCTTTCTTCCAAGGTGCCTTTGGGTGGATTCAAACCTTCAACCTTTCAGTTAGCAGCCAAATGTGTTAACCTTTGTACCACCCAGGAGAGAGGTAATTAGAGACAGATTCTACTCTGGCCAGTTCCATTACAGGTCTCAGCTGTGAAACAGCCCCAGACTCTTGGAAAAGAGCCTCAAAGGACTTAAGTTGCTAGGAGGGAGATGTGGTCCTTGGAGAGGTACATTTCCCTCTGTTTGCACACATCTTCCATGTCTCCACTTTCTTTTCCCAGCCCCAAGACCTTTGTAGTAATGAACCAGAATTTTTTCTAGACTTACTAATGACAGTTTCTGAGTGCTATAACAAATAATCCTAAAACTGTATAGGTCAAACAGAGTAGACATTGTATCTCACTCCCAGTCCAAAGGTAGGGGTGCCTGCTCATCAGGCAATTTTCATGCCTTTAGGGATTAAGGGACCCAGGCTCTGTTCACCTTGTGGCTGCACTAGACCCACCATCAATGTCTATAGACTTCCGGCAAGAATGCAAATAGAGACCCACTCTAGAATTGCCAGTTAGCGAATAAAAATAGAGGATGCCCACTTAAATTTTAACTTTAGGTAAACAATAAATAATTTTTTTGTATATATCTGTATCTCCCATGCGATATTTGGGGTGCACACTTATTCTAAAAAATTACTCATTGTTTATCTGAAACTCATACTTAACTAGACATCCTATATTTTACCTGGTAACCCTACATATACCATAACACATAAACATTATTTGAAGCAAACTGTTAGAGAAAACATGTTCTGTCATCCTAGCTTGACAAATATACTTCCATAATGACCTGGAAGACCAGCTTCCTGTTTAGAATTCTCTGACTCCTGTAAACTCCTCACCAGCCCCCAGCCTCCCCTCCTTCTCTTCTTATCTCCAGCTGACTCTCACATCAAGGACCTTCATGTGCACATGTGAGGTCACCTTCACCCACATGTTCAAGTTCCATCCACACTCCCTGCAGACAGTCACTTCTTGGCCACCCCTTTGACCCACTGTAAGGATCAGAGCCGGGGGAAGAAGCCCACACAGACCAAATTGTTGTTTGTTGTTGTTTGGTGCCGTCGAGTCAGTTCTGACTCATAGCGACCCTATGTACAACAGAATGAAACACTGCCCAGTTGTGCGTCAGCCTGACAATCCCTGCTGTACCTGAGCCCATCATTGCAGCCATTGTGTCAGTCCATCTTGTTGAGGGCTTCCCTTCTTTTG